GGAATGCTACAATTTTAAGGATTGACTCAAAATGCAGAATGCAAGCCTGTGTGTAAATACTACAGTCCAAGGGGAACAAACTTTGTTGGTCATCTTGCATGGCCAAAGCTTCATCCACAGGTTGTGGCGGAAATGGTATTTGTCTTATGTCCTACTTTTATCATAATAACATTGTTGCAAGAATTAATGAATGCAGGCTACTTCATGGGTTTCATATGTCACCAGAAAATAGTGTTTTGAAGTGGTTTGTCTTATTGTGGAGTGACGTTACAGTAGCACTGCAAGTCCAGGGTCAGTCATAGTTGTTCTGAAATAAGGTTTATGGTCTCTTGTTTAGAGAGAGGAATTTCTATACACTTGTATTTAGTGGTAGCTCTGCCCTGATTTTAAGCTTTTGAATCTCTCAGCTGGTTGTTAAGTGTCAAAACTACTTTTGTTGCATCATTGCTGACTCCTTCTTAGGTCAGCATTATTACTAATAAATCTTCTCTCTATGTGTCAGTGTGTTGTGAGCACTCTCCTCAAGCTGACTTCTGCAGCTGAGATCAGTTTTCTTTCTCAAAGTGATGGTAGAGAGAGCAGGTGAGCACCTGTGTGTTACAGCTGTGTAAGGATCCACTGGTTTTGTGTTCAGGGAGCTGTCTGATGGGAACGGATGGTTGCTCCTCCTCAGAAGTATCTCATTAGTTCATCTGAGGAGCTGTCATGTAACAGCGATCTGGAAACTTTCTTCTGGCTGTGGCCTGGAGGCCATAGACATCAAGGACTTCAGGGGAGTAGATTCCCCTTGTAACTGTCCAGGCAGAGTGTGCTGATGGACCTCAAGTGTGAGGTGGTGTGCATGAGGACAGTCACAGCTGCAGCTTGGTGACTTGTGGGTGATGGGTTGGAAATGTAAGCAATGCCTCACTTGAACACTGAGAAGTGGAGGGTAGCATGGACAGTGTTTCTGCATTTGATTAAAGGGAAGTAATGGGCATTCCTAAGGTCACTGGGATCTCTGTCTGGACAGCTGGCCAAGAGGCTTCCTTTGGTATAGCTCACAGGTGACTGCATGTTCATCTGAGATTCCCAGCAATCATCTGAACTATTATTTGCTTCTGTGAGCAGCAGTCTGTTAAACAGCAAGGGAAGAACAAATGAGAACAGCTTGTGAAAGAGGAGTACAAGTGAGCTTACAACCTGTGTCCATGCACGTGTGCTGTGTGGCCCAGTCCATTCAAACATGTCTGTGCAGCCCATGCTGTGATTTCCCAGGCTGTCTCTCATCTCCAGATGCTGTGCATTTGCCACACCCTGATAGTGCTTCCTCGAGAGGCACTTCCCTTCCATTAACCTTGTGCCAGTGTTGGGTGGGACCAGGAGCTCTGCAAGAGAAGTAATAATGAGAACCTCTCTGGTAGGAGTTGTAGCATAGGGTGTCCAAATGGCAATGATATCAGTAAAACCCCCTTGACTCACATCAACTAGTTTTTATAATGTAAAACATTTTTATTTTCTTCAAGGCTTTTTGTAGGGTTTTTTAGATTGTTTTCAAGGTAATTGGAAGACATTTATCATGTGTCTGTTTCAGATCACTATTGTGTCTTATCAGACCACATCTAAAGGTGACTATAAGGCAGCATAAAGCAGTAGGACTGACCATTTGGAGCATTAGATTAAACTATTGGAAAGAAACACATGATGCTTTTCAGCAGAGCAGCATCTTTTCCATCTTTCTGGCACCTTTATTTTAAATTAGGAGATTGCCTGTATTTCCTCAGAAAACACTGATGGCAGAAACAGCTTTTGGGGTAGCTGAGCTATCAGTATCTCATTTCTGTGAAGGGAGTAGCAGTCAGACTGTCCCAACCATGTGCCAGGGAGCCAAGGAGAGTGTTCTGTGGCATCCTCCAAGCACAGGAGCCTCGGGAGACTTGATCCTTGGAGCGCATGTGGGCTTGGACACCTCAGTGCTTGGACAAGGCACCTAATTTTAGCCATTTCTCTGGTGTGAAACGTCAGTGTCCTGCCCCATGTAGCACTGTTCTGCTGACAAACTTCATAGTGCAAACTGATGAATTGGGGATACAAGCCAGTTGCTGTAGTTGGTTATAAACCAGCCCCCTTTTGGCAGGAGAGGATATGAAGGTCTTTCACAGTGGTCCTACCTGCTAGACCATAGAGTGGGCTATCCAAATGGCTTCCCTGCCCCTTGGATTGTCTTGCCCTTCCTGAGCCATGCTGCAGTGGGTGCTTCTCAGCCAGAGCCAAGGACTAGACCTACAGCCTGAAGTTAGGCCTTAGCCTAGAATCACAGAATCAGAATCACAGAATCTTAGGGATTGGAAGGGATCTCCAAAGATCATCAAGTCTAACCCCACTGCCAGAGCAGGACCCATAACTAGCACAGATCACTCAGAAAGGCATCCAGAATTAGTCCTTTGAGAAGAAAATAGTGGAGTTTCTCATGGACTGTGGGGAAGCACCTGTGAGTGGCTAAACAATTATCTTACCTCTTCAAGTGCAAATAGTGTGGTTCTTGTATAAAGGATTCAAAACCTGATTTGGGTTTTGTTTACACTAGTGTGAACTCTGCCTTCTGAGGGTGCTGGAGTTTGGGCCCTCTCACTTGGCTGCTGCTCACCAGTTTCTCAACTGGTATGTAAACTCAACATGCTCACAATGCATTCCAAAAACCCACCACTGCTTACTTTGCCCAGCAGTAAAATGAGGATATATGAAGCAAACAGGCATGAGAAGTAAACAAGCTCAAGATTTTTGTAACCTATGTAGGAAGAGTGATCTGATTTGCTGTCTGGGGGGCCAGGTTCAGTAGTAACTGCAGACTGCAATGGTCATGCAGTGCTCTGTGTGCTTGATAATGTATAGAATTGATTTTAAATATGTTTGATTATGTGAAATTTTATTTCAGATCAAGTGTTTAGAAAACAATTATACACATTATAAATAGATTTTAAATTACTTCTCAGTGGCCATATGTATGGTGTGGTTGGGCAGGGAAAGTGCTGGGTGATGGTTTGGGGGGGGAGTGTTTTGATTTTTTTAGCATAACACAATAAAGGGAGTTTTCAGTTGAGCAGCCATCTCATTCTGCAGAGGAAACTTGCAGGATGATGTTTATTCTGGTGTTAGTCATCAGAGGTGAAGTGCACAATAATGGTACGCCTGTGTTTCTACAATTGGAGGATATTTTTCATGATGAAGGAAGTCTCCAAGGTCAACAGCTACAATACCCGGAGAAGTTACATCACAAAACCACTTTTGCACAACGCTGCTCTCTTTGGTTTTTTTCTTCCCCCCTTTTTCATTTTGCACATTGTCTCTCTCTCCATCAGCTAAAGTGTTGCTCTCATCACTTTCATGAATACCACGGATTTGATTTGGACTTCTGTTTGTATTGTTTTGCTGTTATTTGGCTGTTAAAAAAAATAATAAACCCCAAACCTAAAAACTGGAATGTGTATTTTTCCCCTAAATAATTGAATGAGGCTTACTACAGTGTTCTAACATCATGTACATTCCCAATCTTACTTTGTCTAGCTGCTGTTTTTGCAGTGAGAATTGCACTGTGTTATGATGATGGCACCAGCAGCACCTCCTGAAGCTGATCTGGACCAGCACATTTCATAGTTACCTTCTATCACCTGGTAGTGGTGGGCATGGCAGCTCACACCTCTGTGTTGAGCTGAGTGCATGCAGAGAAGGAAGCTTTTGGCTTATTTTAGCAAAATTTGCACGAGGGGAAAAAAGAGAAGGCTAGGTGTTAATTTTTCCGGGTCAGTCTGTATCTCAATTTACTATGCAAATTAATGTTACTGGTACATGTAAAACAGTTTGGAAACACCTCATTTCTGCTTGACATTTTTTAAATTGTGTTTTTAGTGAAATTTCAGTGTAAGAACTGTATTTTATAATACTCTTTTTAACATAGGATTTTCACCACTGTTTGCTTGATTTAACTTTAACAATTAGCTGTTAATCTCAGTTCAGCTTGTCCTATAATGTCAAGAACAAGGACACTCCTTAGAAGCATACCTGGCTCCATTTTATTTGTTTTGCAACCTCTTGATGAGGAGGCTCTTATTCCATCAACAGGACAGCATACTGAGAGGTTGCTCTACATACTCCTCATTACTGTAGACCTTATTGTATTTATACCCAAAACTCTGACTCAATACTACTGAATTCAGCAGAGTCTTTCCCTGGCTTCATGTTGCTCTGAATCAGTCTATAAACCTAAAACTCAAAGCTGCTTCTAACAAAGAAAACAAAGTATTCTTCCTGCAGTTCCTAACAGAACTTGTGTTGTGGTTTAAGCCTGTTGTCCATGTTTCATCATGTTCACTAGTAATTGTTCCAAGCAGTATATATTAATTAGAGTGAAATTACCTAGTATTCAGTATTTCCTTGATTGCATTTGGTTTGTCAACAATGATGGCATTTGGAAAGA